GAATAAATTTACATGGAAGTGACATAAATTTATCATTTTTGAAGTATTACACCGTGGACGATCATGAAGTGCACGACACATAACATATCATCCATTTTGAGAACATCGATGAAATGCTGTGACAAAAAGAGTGAACTTGTTGCAAGAAAGAATCTCTCCCATCATCTGTCATAATTTGGAGTCTATGTCTACATATTTTTATCAATTCCATTGCATTGACCCCTTGATAATTCATTTGAAATCTCAAAGTATTTCTCATTAGATTTAGATTAATTACTGTATTGACTTCAATAAATTGAATACTTAACTTATTTTATTACAAGGCTAGATATATTTTCAATAATCATCACAAGTACATCAATAACAACAAATAATATGCCAATTAAGCCAACCAAAGAATTATAACATGATTTCCAATGTGTATCACTAGAACGCTGAAGGGTAATTTCTTGATTAGTCACTATTCGTAATTTAAATTTCATTATTCTCTAATGTTTTAACTGATTATTTCTTTCTCGAAGATCAGATGATGCTCCAAATTATTTATTATCACTAGAAATCGTACGAAAGGAATTAATAATCAGAATAGTCTTCTCTGCCACAATTACAAAATCTAATTGAAGTTAATGAGTAAAACAATGAATGTAAAATGTACAAGGGTTCTCGTTTAAATTAACGCTCTGAGACTGTCATAACTTTGTTTAGAAAAAAATAATTGTAATTGCAGCTTTCAAAGACAACCAATGTATTGAAAACATGTTAAAGACATATGAACATTCATTTTCATGTCCACTCTTGTTCACACAACGTAAAATAATTGACATTTGCTCATTTGTAGAAACTTTACGAAATTCATCAAATTGAATAAAAAATAATCCATCGTCAACATTTTTGATAATAACATTAATCATTTCAGCAGTACGAACACTTACCACATATATTTGAATATTAAGCATTGTTAATTTTTAATTTTGTGGAGCGTATTTCAATTTGTTGAGCTTAATATCATACTTATGATCCGCCACACAATTGTATTAGGAAGTTACTTGGATTGAGAGAATTATCATATTCATCATGGACCCCGAAATGAATACCATTATGACAATATAACTCGAACACGATCAATTGATGTATTAAGATGGATTGGATATTTATTTCATACTTGTTTTTACTACTTGAAGAAAACTATTTGAATGTGTCTCTCTTGATTTATCAAAGCTTTACACTTCAACATGAGTACTAAGCATTTCTTTATTTTGTTCAATACGTGAGTCTTTCACCAATAAAAAAGTTGCGTCCACTTGTTTCCCATTGCGTGTTTTAAAAATATAACAATACAGAGGAAAAAAAAAATCATCTTTTGGTATATTATACTATAGTCCAACTACCAAACTCTTTAAATCAAAAAGGATTGAATCATCTAAAATCTTTTACTCCAAATTTCCTTTTTTTAGAAATTCATGATTGCATACATGCTCTTCGAACTATTTTCAAGCATTGTAATCCAATAATGGACTCCTTAGTCTAGTATTTGTGAAAGTTGTACGACATCAAAATACACTATTTTTTATATATCCAATTTAACATTTTTCTACCGTAAATTTTCTTGTAAAGAATCTCTCAATGTCCGCCTTACATTGAAATAAATATGTGATAATTAGATATGTATGGTATCAAATTTCCCAAGTTATAGGAATTATTTATTAGCTATTCAATTTGCAACACTATAGCAATACTATTAATATTCGAAATCCCACTTTAACAACTCAAAATGACAAAAGCAATCCACGTGTATGGTTTAATAACTAACATGCCATAAAGATTAATTTAATCTAAGAAAGCAAGAGAAAGTGTCACTTCTATATAATTTAGTGATATTGTTCCTTTGAGAATATTAAAAAAAAAAAAGGTTGAATATTTGTAAAAAAAAATAAAAAAGTCAATAAAGATAAAATCCTAACCCTAAACTGATTTAGCATACAAAATTAAATTACAATTTTTACAAAATTGAACATTATAAAATAATCAAGTAAAAAAAATACACATTTAAATTACAAGAACCCAAAAATGGAAAGAGGTGGATTCAAAGAATTTATTTACCAAAGTCTTAATTATTAATTAAATAGCTTGGACTACGAATATTCAATATGTACGTGTTATTTACATAGAAAAATCGCATAATTTATATATTTTAGTAGATAATAATTTACTTGAATTTGGTTCATTTCCTCCCTTGTACGAGTTGGAATCTACTATCCAAGTTTTATTGTCTAATGTATTGTCCACCAATTAATTATTGACATATCATTTTAAATTATCATGTCATCCGTTTTAAATTTAATGTTATCAATTTTAATTTTTCACTTTAACAACTATTTAACATCGTTAAATATTTTCTCTTTCACACAAAATGACGTATCAATAATTAATTAGGTGGACAAGAAAAGTTGAACGACAAAAAAAGGGAACCACCAAAATGACTTTCAATTTTGACAATGAAATATGCGCCAATAAATAAAAATTAAGATATCTTTTTTACCGAACGAACCCATTTATATGCAACTAATTACAAATTATGTAATAATATTATAAATAATTTATAGCATTAAGAATATCTTCAAAAAACTCTCTATTTTTAAAGAACATGTTATACAATTTAAAGAGTATTTATAAATTTAGAGAGCAAATTTTTTTAGGTAACAGACTCTTTATATTTAACACTTAACTATACTATTCTAAAACAATATTTATTATTATTTTTTATATTTTATTTTCACTATCTTCCTTTCAAATCATTATATTATTTTTCAATAAAAATTGAAATAATTTGAATGCATTTAATTATGGATAGTGGGTTTCACTCTTCAAATTTGGAAAGTCAAACTAAACTCTCAAAATTAAAATATTAATTTAAAGAGTATCTTGAAATATAATTTTAGTGATTGACTCTTTGAAATTAAAAAAAAAAGTATTTTATATTTAAATAGTCTCTTAAAAATGCTCTAATTTAGAGCCTGTTTGGTATAGATTCTCATTTTCTACAATAAATCAATTTTCATTTTCAACCACACATTTTTCAATAAAATAATATTTTTCATCACATCAATACTTTTTTCTTCTTTTTCAACCACACATTTCCCATCACATCACTATTCAAAAATCAATTCTTCCCCAAAAAATCCCTACCAAACACACTCTTAAATTAAGTGGAAATTGCAAGAAATGTCCACTTTCTTCTAGCCACTTGCAAAAATGGCAACTTTCAAAAACCCTTACAAAAATGGTCATTTTGATATATTTTAGACCAAAATATTCATGGTCAACAATTTATGATTCCATTCAAAGACAATAAAATGGACATTTTTGCAAAAAAAAATATGGGCTAATGAAATCTTGACACATAACATGCTCCATTTATTACAAATGACAAGATTTCAAATCACAATTAATGCTATTTTTTTGCATTAACACAGAAATATCGAGAACGACATTTTCAAGTGTAGAAAAATGCCATGTTTGAAATGAAATGTCCTTCTAGACATTTAATATGTCGAGAATGACGTTTTGAAATGTCGAGAACATTTAATATTGTGATTTGACGTGTGTACTATTGAAATATAAAATGGGATTCAAATGTCGAGAATGACATTTTAAATGTCGAGAATACGTAGAGATTTAAATGTCCTTTTTTTTTTCATTAAGGGCATAAGAGACGCTTTAGTATTAAATTTGAAAATTGGACACTTTTCAACTCACACCCTTAATTATTAACTGTGGACATTCTTGAAAATACCCCTTAAATTAATTAGAAGTCTGTCTCCAATTTCTTTTTGACAATTAAAGCACTTGGGAAAAATGTGAAAAAGTATTCAATACCCGTTTCAGTGCTTGCCGTGTCATCGATCCTCGTGACCTGTTATGAATGATGTCTACCCGTCCGATCATGATCCATCCCGAGAATCTTAACCGTCTATTGCCTACCAAAAAAGGCCTTTAACGGGAAAACTGTAGTAGAAGTCCCGAACCTATAGGTGTTATAGCAAGTTGGACCCAATAATTTTAGAAGATTAATCCTCAGCTATTAAGTTTGTAGCATCTAGACCCTGGATGGTTTTCCATCCATGTTGGTCTTAAAGAGTCACATGGCTCATCTGATTTCAGTTTTTGCAATGTAAAACAAATAATTTTGTGACTTGACTAGTGAACTCTTCATTTCATATGGCACGACAATATTACTAATAATTGGTTGTATAGTCTAGATTTTAGAAAAATGCACTAATCATGTTATCATATGCAGGTATTATTGTAGCATTCTATCCTTACAACGTCGCTTGTGACTATTGAATAAACTTGTCGACCCGTGAGAAAGGGAGATTGTCACGAAAGCCTATTGGACCCTTGGGGCTGTGTAGACAATCCGTTACAAGTGGTATTTCAAACCCCAACATACTCCTAATCCATCACCATCGTCAATTGTTTTGGTACCTTTCTAGTTCATTATCTGCTTTCCTCAACCTTATGACTTACTTCCTCTTTAGTTTGTCTAAACCTTCTCCTAATTCTACTTAAGTCTCCCTTGTTCTACTATTCCACAATGTTATTCTTTTGCCCGTAATTAATCATCTCACTACTCATCTCCACGGACACATGAATGAGAGTTCGACATCAAGTTGAGGAGAAGAATTAAATTTTAACTTTCTAAAGGCAATTAAGAAGGAAAGCCGTTTATAAAAATTGAAGTGTTACAAACTTTAAAAGTTAAGATCAAACTATGAAATAAAGTTAACAAATCAACTCGCTAAAATATTCATATGTTGAGGGACTTGTAATGCAATTTTTTATCTTACTTGATTATTATGTTTTAACTTTACAACCTGAAACCATCGTAATAATTTTGTCAATAAGTTCTCTCTACCCCCTGAAATAGATTTCCACAGTGCTCTTTGAACCTGAAACAACCCCCCCAACACCACTCACTCCACCCTCTGAAAAAAATTTCAATGGCGACTGAAGAGGTCAGCAAGCCTCCAGCACTCCCTCCATATCCACAGGTAAAAGGGCGAAATTCAAAATTTTTATTACGTTCCAGCCTTATTTTCCAATTTTGCATGTACTTTTACAACCTGAACCCAGACTCTAATGTTTCAATTTTTTCTTAAAAATTGATTGTTTTGATATTTTTGCTTTTTTTTTTTCTTGATTTTTATGCACGAAACTGAGGGTTTTGATTTTGTAGAGATTCCATTTTTTCATTTGCTCAAAAACCCTCGTTTTATTTTTTGCCCTATTATTATTTATTTATTTTTTTCTATCTAGTGGTTAATGAAAAATTAGCTCTTTTACATGTATATTTTATGTGTATGGAATTTGTTTCAGGTGATTAATGTCAATTTCGGCATTTTATATTGGGCGTTTGAAATCCAGCGCAATCACAAACAATGGTGTTTAAACTAATTTTGGGAACAAATCATAGAAATTCTCACTCTTTTACCAATTATTTTATAGAAATTTTAGATGATCTTCTTTTTAAGATTTCAGCTTTAATTTTTCAAACACTTTCTGACCTTTATTCGACAGCAGTGTTTATCCAAGTTCAAAAGTTAATCCTTTTGTTTTCAAACATGTTTAGACAAGTTACTTTTTTATTACTAGTAAAATAAGTGATTATGTTGAAGGTAAGGTAATGTTAATATTACTTATATCTAAGTTTGACCGACACAAAAATTATTTTATTTTAAACAATTCCGTTACTTTGTGAAATGTTTTAAGCTTAGCCAAACATGCACTAGTTGTTAAGGTTTCAGCTAGAATTGTTCAAGCATTAGCATTTTTCACCACTATTCAGTCATTTCCGTAGGGAAAACTCTCAGATGTCAAAAATTATTCATTAGTTTAGTGTATTTTTGTAGATGATTATGGAAGCCCTGGATTCATTGAAACAAAAGGAAGGAGCAAACAAGTCATCGATATCAAAATACATAGAATCCAAATATGGAGACTTGCCTGCTGGGCATGCAAACTTGCTATCAGCTCATTTGACTACAATGAAAGACAGTGGGGAGCTTTTATTCGTCAAGAACAACTACCTTAGGCCTGGGCCTGATGCCCCACCAAAGCGCGGCCGAGGACGTCCAAGGAAGGACCCGAATTCGTTACCTGAACCAAAGAAGCCAAAGCCAGCTGCGGGTCCCCCGGCTGTTTCAAAGACTGGAAGGCCAAGGGGCAGGCCGAGAAAGGTGCTGCAGCAGCCTGCACCAAATGGCTTGGAAGGTTAGTTGCTTTGAATGAGCAACTGGTGTTGGTTTACTTACGTTGGTTTTAACTTAGGTCGCTTTTAAGATTTATGTTATTTAGTAGGTGTCTTCCATTGTAGTTTAACCTTCGTATGTTGTTTGTTTGTGGTGTAGTTGTAGTAGTTGCATGTAATTCGAGGAAGAGCTTATTTAATGCTTGTCTTGACATTAAGAGTTCTGATGCTAATCTTGGGTTTGTTTCAAGTATTTCTGTGTGTTGACATTATCCTTAGTGAATTTATGTTGAGCTTTGGCTCAACAGTTTGGTTTCTTGGCTATTATTGAGTGTCATTGTCATTGAGTTCTCAGTTCATTTTCCTTTGCCAAAGTTCTCGATTGGAAGGATCAAACATAGTTGAATAGTTGATCTGCCCTCCTTTGAATCTTTAGCATTGGTATGTTTGGTACAAATTTTCATTTTCTACAGTAAATTAATTCTCATTTTCAACCACACATTCTTCAATAAAATAATATTTTCCATCACATCAATATTTTTTTCTTCTTTTTCAACCACACATTTCCCATCATATCACTATTCAAAAATCAAAAAAAATTTAGGTCCTATTTGAGAGGGATTTAGATTTTTTTATAGTAAATCAATTCTCGTTTTCAATCACACATTCTTCAATAAAATAATATTTTCCATCACATCAATAATTTTTTCTTCTTTTTCAACCACTCATTTCGCATTATATCATTATTCAAAAATCAATTATTCTCCCAAAAATCTCTACCAAACTTGAATCTATTGCAGTTGGCGGAATTTTTTATATGCTCAAATTTATGCGAAGCTATTACTTCCAATTCCGTACATGTATGCAAATTCTAGAGTTTGATGAGATTGTATACATTGTATGACTCTAATTGTGCTATAACATTCTTCTTGGTGAAATGATTTAGAAGTTTATTGAAATGGTTCGTGGCGGACCTGGTATGATGATGATGACCAACTTATTCCTTTGGTAAGATAGGTTAGCCAGCGATTGACATTATCAAAGAAGTTAAATGTTTTGTCGTGTCCAACTGTTTAGAGCAGTGCTTGGTGCACAGGGAAATAACTCAACTGTTTAAGACATGTTAGGAGAACTTCAGACAAGAACAATGTATGGATAAAATTAATATCTCCGTGCTAGTGTACTCTTGTTTCTAAATTATACAATGATGTGCTTGTCCTAGCACTCAGGGCCCACTTGGAATCTGGATTTATTAGCATGTCTCCATCCCTCCTTGTCTGGGTGGAACTTGTTTGAATCTTCACGCGTTCGAATGATGTTGTACGATGGTGCAAATATGCATTCACTTTTTTTTTTCAATACGTATTTAATAGTCTATCGTACCAAGCAAACATGAACGGAGTCATACTACTAAACTTGAACAATTAAAATTTTCTCCGCATAATGGGGTCATTGTACATCTGCAATTTGTAAATCCAGACGTTGCTTCTAGAGTTCAGAGACCAGACATGACACTTGGGTTTCCTTAGGCTCCTTCAAGGAAGATGACTAAAATGGAGTTAGAAGAGCGTTGTGTAGAACCATAAATTCTGCACTTCTGGCACTTGTTAACCGTTGAAAGAACACTGTTAATTTGGGGTTCTCGTTGATAATAGTAACATCTACAAACCATTTTTCTCGAAAAGTAAACCATATCTTGACTTTGATTATGTCTTGCATGATCATCGAGTTAAAGCTTGACTTATGGGCTTGTGACACCACTCGAGCATCCTCCCTTGTCGGTTTTATAGTAAGTTTTACGTGCTTACAATAAACGGTATTAGGGGAGACATCCATCGGGAAATGACTCTCATCTACAAACCATTTTTCTCGAAAAGTAACCGCATCTTGACTTTGATTATGTCTTTCATGATCATTGAGTTAAAGCTTGACTTATGGGCTTGTGACACCACTCAAGCATCCTCCCTTGTCAGTTTTATAGTAAGTTTTACACGATTGTAATAAATGGTATTAGAGGAGACACCCATCGGGAGACGACTCTGATTGCGATTGACTTATGAATTTGTAACCATTAGCAAAGCAACAATAAACTTTGAGAAATATTAAGTGGACAAAAATCATCACATGTTCTGCCATTTTACTTTTGGCTCATCTTTTTTCGTAATCTACTTGTTATTGAGATTATATGTTGAAATGTTAATAAATCACAATGTTCCCATATTTGAAACTTCTCAGCGTTTGCGGCTGGTGCCTTGATTTTGTGCCGTTGGTAAAGTCAGGTTGCTCTAGGTGCTTAGAGCTATTCGCATTCTTCGACTCCATTGGCTATACCTTCTGTGTGGTTTAGAGACAGGAATCAGATCGAGATTATTAGAACAATGCGAAGTGAGTAGATCTGATTGGTCGGTTGGTTGTTGTCTGTGTGTTTGTGTACGAGGTTTCGTCTCCCATTAATAACATTTAGATTTGGTATATTGGGTGCAAAGAGAATTGAGAATTCCTGTACATACATACCATCAATGGGGATTACATAACAATACAATTATGCTATATGTAAATTAAGTTTGACATTTTTTAATATGGAATTCATCGTAATCATTGATTTTTACACCACCATTTCACATCACTGACCAGATTTTTGACACATATGAGAATGTCAACAAGAATGTATAAATAGCTTGATTGTAATAATAATATTGTTACATGTGTAGTCGTGTAGACAATGAATTTAAAAATTACCACTGAGTCAGTGTCTTGAATTTGATTTTAGACGGTAATATGTAATAAACATGTTAAGCTCATGTTTGATGGCCATTATTGTTTAAAAACGATGTTTTAAATTATTTTTTGGAGAATGTGTGATTAAAAATTGAGGAACATTTTTGAGTTTACGTGTGAAATATTTTTATTGCTGAATGTGTGATTGGAAATGTGTATGAAAAATAAATTGTTTTGTTTTAAAGGGAGTCAAACAAAGGCTTGGTGGGGGATTAAAATTAGATTTTTAGTGGATTGTGATAAAAGTTTTTGAAATGTGTGATTGAAAAGATGTGGGATTCATGAAATATTAGATTAATATTGATTGTTTGATTTTGATTTATATTAAAATCAGATTTTAATCCAACCCAAACATGCCGAGTCTCTAATTGATGTGGATTAAAATAAAATTAAAATTTCAAATTAAATTCAAAAATTAATTTTAATAACATATTTCATATGATTTTTAACTACACATTTCATCAAATTTTTATTAAAATCTTCTAAACTTTTTATTTTAATCTACCTCAAGAAGAGATTAAGGACCTGTTTGCTACTCATTAATTTATTTTATGGTTTACTATATGATCATTTTTAATCACGCATTTAAACAATAAAATATTCTGCACGTATACTAAAAAAATTTTCATACTTTTTAACTACACATTTTCCTAAAAATACTATTCAAAACTCATTTTTTATCAATTAATAAGAATTAAACAGGCACTAAATCTAATGATATGCCAAGTATGGTAAGATCTTTCCTATAATGGAACTCTCATTTTTGAGTCATCTTTTCATAATTCAAAAATTTCTCCTTTTAAAATGACGAACTTCTCATTTCTTATTTATTTACTAAATTTCCACTTAATACATATTGCCTTCCTCGAGGAAGAGTTCGGCGGTCCCACTGGAGGCCGGCCCGATGCCCGAGGCTGAGGAGGAGGCCCCCTTGGAGGAGGTAGGGGATGGGGCTATTGTAAATGTAGATACCTAGTTTTTGCCCTTTTGTTTCCTTTGCAATGGCTTCGGCGTTGATTTATTTGGTAATGACATTTTTTCTATTATTGCTTTAAGTGTTGTCAAGGGTGATTCAAGAGTGTTTTTTTTTTTTTTTGGTAAAATTACAAAGACAAAATAAATAAATAAATAAATAAAATTACCATGCATACTGAAATTAACATTTTATCAAATTTTTAATTAACGAAAGAAAAACATTCTTACATAAAATATTTCCTCTGTTTGACACTAATTTTAATCGCATTCTCATTTTTTTTCTTTTTTCATTTCAACCACACATTCTCCAAAAAAAATAATATTACACACAAATCTAAAATTTTTTATCACTTTCCCACCACACATTCTCCCATCAATCACTATTGAGAAAAAAGAGTGAATGCCAAACATGGGCTAAGATTCAGACACACACTAAATCGTAGCCCATGTTTAAGACACATTCTTTTAAAATACATTTTTTCAAAACTCATTTTCAAACACATATTTTTCGATAAAATAATATTTTTCATCACATCAATAATTTTTACTTATTTTTTAACACACATATTTATTATCATATCATTATTTAAAATACATTATTTCGTTAATAATATCTATAGACACAGTTTTTTTTTTTTAGAAAAAATAAAAAATCCACCAAATTATCTCTTCCCTCCCTCAGATCCAGACATCTGGTAAAGAAAATCTCCGCTCTCTTCCTATTTTTTTTCTCTCCGTTTCTTAATAGTTTCCTATAATCTCTCCATAAAATTCTATTTTGAAAAGTCTCAGATTTGTTTGCGGCCCCTTATTCTGTGGGTTAATTTGGGTAATATTTTTCTCCCATTACATTTGATATTATTTTTCAATTTCAGATCGATTTATAATACGTTTCTGTTTTTAATAAATTATGGATCTTGGAAATTGATGTTATGACATGGAAATAATTGTCGCAGAAATTATATAGATCGAATTGGATATGGGGTTTCTGGTGACAACCCTTATTTTTCTTGTGGTTGGGATCATTGCATCTCTGTGCACTAGAATCTGCTTCAACAGAGGACCCTCTGCAAATCTGTGCGTTTGCTTTTTCTTCAACATTATTTTTTGCATTCAATTATTTTGTTTTTCTTTTGAGTTTGATTATGGATTCTCTATTCACTACTTGATCGCATTCCCTGAATTGCAAATTGTTTCGTGACTTCGTTATTTGAACTTAACATTTAGCTGACGGTTATGTTTGTCTGCCCTGGCTATGTATCATCAAACAACATGATTCTTACTTTCATAGTAATTATGAAATCAATGAGCGTTGTTATATGCTTTCTGGATGAAGGAACCTCACCTTGAGCTGGTTTCTAATATTACCTACAGTTTTCAGAATAATATCCAGTGACTGAGCGAATTGATCTGGTAGCTGAAATTCCATCAATTAAATAAATATGCATCACTTGTTTGATTCTTCTTGGAACAAATTATCAACTGTTTAAGGGTGAATGCATTGTTGGGACTTGCAACTTACATGATGGAATTGTTTTGATGAATGAATTATAAATCTATGCCTAGCTACAGTTAGACTTGTCATCTACAATTAAACTATATTGTGTTAGGAATTGACGTTTAAAAATTAGAAATGATAAATTGTTTATCAATTCACTTTGCTTCCATTATGGGTGTTAGCCTCGAGATTCTTCTAAGTGTAAATTAAAATGCTTTGAAGCATAAACTTCAAAATAAGGTAATAAATTAAATCAAGAAAATGATAAAGCTATAACAGTCCAAAAGTTAAATAAAAAAAGAAAGACCAATGTTAAACAAGTTTAAAAAACATTTAGATACATATTAATCCAAATTCTAGTATTTAAGCTTATAATTCTTAAATATAAAGTTGCAGGCTTCAGGTGATAATTAACCAAGCAATGGCAAGAGAGTAGAAAAAGGTTATTCAGGATGAAACAATTAAACAAGTGCAAGCAACAACTAGAAGAGAAGAATAAAAAACTAACCACATGACATCTTGAAACTAACAGCTAACTACTAACTGGCAAGTGCAACTCAAAGGTAAAAACAACACAGAAACGATCGTCCAGCAACTAAGAGTCTAAAACAATTGAAATAACTAATCAGTTCTTTGAAAGAATTTTTTGTTTTCTCGTTTTAAAAGAAGATTGAGAGGAAAGAAAACTTAAAAAACAGGAAGTAGCAAAACAATTACAAAAGAAAGCAGAAGAGCGAACTTAACAGTCACGCCTCATTCTGCCACCAAAAAGCTGCAACATCATTGATGGATGATGTACCACATTTGTAAGAGCAGAGGGCTTGACATGCATGGACTTTTCACTTCCCTTTCTGCTCAAATTCTTTCTCTTATTTGGTTTTGTGTTGAGATATGTTTAAAGCAGTGCAAAAGTCCCTTGCAATGCCTGAGTTATGAAATAGAGCAGACCGAAAAACTGAAGTTGGTAAATCTAAAAAGCAGTAAAGAAAGGGAAAGGTTGAGGAGGGCACCCCAAATTGACCGGACGCTTGTGCCCGAAGGCATGCCCCTTAGTCAAACATGCTCTTAAAAGCATCTTCTTTCTTCAGCTTGTGAATGCTATCCATTAAAAATTACGAAATGTATTGGTAGGATTCTTTCAACATGTTATGCTAAGTAGAATATTGAAAAGAATCTTTGCTATGCTCATTATCATAACAAAGTTTTGGCAAAGGTGATGATCTTCTGGCCTGCATATTGCTAACTGTATTTCACAATGCAGGTTACACCTGACATTACTTATTACTGCAACAGTATGCTGCTGGATGATGTAAGTCAAAGTCCCTTGTTTAAGCAGAAAATAGATCCATGTAGCACACACAACTTCGTCTATCTTCCTACTTCTTGAGGAGGAATATGATTTCAATCTAACGCGATCATTATAATTGTGTGCCCAACTAGAATTTTCTTTAGATTCCTATTTTGACTTTTTAGGTGGGATTCAGAAATGGTTTTGGTTAGCATTATTGTGTACGCATATTGCTTGTTAAAAGAATCCATGTTTTGTTCTAAAAGAGTTTCTTATTTCTTCTTTCTTATTTGTGTTTTTCTCTGTTGAGCACCTGTACTCATGGGATTTTTCTTTCTTTATTCTTCTTTTCTTTTACATTTCGGAGATAAGGAGGGGCATGGGAGTTAGGTGTGCCCCACCTTCCTCATAGTAATATTTTCCCTTTTTAGTAAAAGAAGTCCTTATGACTTTGTTTAGCCTTCATTTTATAAAATTCATTGTTTTTCAAATTCATTTTCTATCACACATATCATTGGACCCACAATTTTTATCATTTTTCAATTACACATTTCAACTTTTATCAAAATCTACTAAGGACCTATTTGGCATGGCTTTGCTTTTGCTTTTGGAAGAAGATACCTTAATTTTTGGGAAACTAATTTTTAAAAAAGTTTCCTATTCCAAAAGTAGTTTTTGAGGAAACCACATTGAACTAATTTTCTCTAAAAGCTCTTCTAACTACCAAAACAACTTTCATAAAATTAGCTAAACATGTCCAAAAACAGTTTTTTGGGTCTCAGAAGCTACGTTTGACTTTTGAAACTCCATGCCAAACGGAGCTTGATCATGGCTCAAACTATCGAAAAAATAAAATAAAATAATAAAATAGGTAGTTCTATTTAGAGGCCCTAAAACTCTGATTTTTAGCTAAACCAAACATGGGCTAAATGCAATGTAATAGTGGCTACGTTGAGTATACCCACACAGGAACAAGTCATGGATTGCAATTGCAATTGCACTTGCTAATTGAATGTTTAGATATCATTTTTTTGGTTTTACATATGTATTTACTTGATGGCCTTTGAATTTAGTATTTTTCTATACAATTAATCATACTGAAATTTATTCTTTTCGAAAACGTTTGATCTGGTTACTATTGGAAACACTATTATGACTAAGCCCCTGTTTGGTGGGAATTAAAATCAGATTTTTAGTAAATTTTAATAAAAGTTAATAAAATTGTGTTTGAAAAGTTGTGAGACTCATAGAATATGTGGTTGAAATGAATTATTGGTTTTGATTTAGATTAAAATCTAAATTTTAATCGGTATCAAACATGGGCTTGTAACTGAATACTTTATTTTTGGAGTGAACAAAGAAGTTTCTCAGACTTAGAGGTTCTTGTCTTTGTTGTAACGTTCGACTTCAAAAATATTGGATTTTGTAACTTAACGGGGCACATAAATTGGTACATTAAATCATATGGCATGTACAACCATTGAGTTTGGTTGTGTGTGGAAAAAACTGTAAATCCTCGAGTAGGAATAAAAGTTGGTATGGAGAATGTGGACTTGTTTAGTTTTATCTGAATTTATCTTTGATGAGTTAATTTTTATCTGTAAAATTGTCAGTTCTGGTACCAAAGAAATGTTTTTGGTTTGTCATGCTTATAATTTTTACTCGTTTGTTTTCCAATTAAGTTCACCTTGTTTCTCCTTTTTCCTTGAACAGGTGGGCAATAGTGTATCTAGCACAGATGAAACCGCTTATTGTTCCAATCTTGAATGAAACGGAGTGAGATAATAGCGATTGCGACCATCTTACGACTTGTGGAGTTAGAATTTGGAGAGAAAAGAATAACTATTTTTGGGTGTTCACGTACCCAAAATGCTTTTGTCAGATTTGTACGAAATTTTTAGTAGCGCAAACTTTAAATGTCTTCCATACTATACTCGATTTTCTGAATCTATTCTGTTATTCATTTCTGAAGGATGATATTTTGTATTATGTACCTTTGAAGAAAATAATTTATGGACAATGTAGTTTGTGTCTAACTCTGTTGACCGTCTCGTTGAGCAAGAAATGTTATAAATCAATAGCTTGAATCTGGTCTTTAATACAGCAAAGCTAGAATTTGGAATTAACCAAGTTTTTTGCTATATGATTCTAGGATTGTAGTTCTTTTTCTTCGTAAATTCACTCTACTAAGCAAGCCATTGATGTATCTCAAATGTTTGACAGAGTTGCCCCTCACTCCCACCTGCACCCTGCCCTGACTTGTTAGTGTACCAGGAAGCTTGCAAGCCAGAATGGTAAACATGTATGCTTCGAAGATGCATGTACCAAAAACTGTCTCTTCTTTGGAATCATCTCTTCCTATTCAGCCATTAACCATTTCCCTTTCCACTACAACTGTAATTCTGAGTTAATCAATCCGAGGTGGCAACTGTGAATGTACGGATCTAAACATGATTTGGTCAAATATAGAATTCATGAAGTACAATTCTAGAAATTGACACTTGTTACTAAGTTTGGATTCAGTTGAGATTGCCGAGCTCGGGAACTAATGAGGTCCTCTGTCGAAAATTGCCTTGAAGCTCCCAAATCATCCAAAATGTCACGCAAGAGGTTGTAGTTCATATTTAGGAATGTCGCTATAATCATGCCGATCTTGTAAGCTTGTAAGGTAAATAGAAGTTGCCAAGCTCGAAGGTCCTGAGTTGTTCAAATTATCACATAAGAGCATCTTCAAAAGACTTTTTAAATACTAGTCACAGCTAAACGTACGTTGCACGTTATTTTGAAATGTTTTATAAACGCTGTAAAAATAATATTTGAAAATCAGTGAATATAAAAATTAGTTAAAAAAACTGTTTATGTGAAATGAACTTTTTATACAATTCAATTATTTATTTACGTGTATGATAATAATTATCATTAATTTATATATATCATACTATAATTCAATCAATTAATTTTTCAAGTTCATGCACGTACACTTTATATATTTTGGGAGCTATCCAATTACTCTAAAAATACTACAATTCAATTATTTATGTATGTGCATATATACAAATTAACATTTATTTATGGGCCCTGTCTGGTAGCAATTATTTTGGCCAGAAATTGGATTTTTCCTACCGTTAACAATCACTTCAGCCGCACTATTTGACCATCCATCTCGCACGCGGGTCCTACTAACGTTAAGAATTTTGATTAGAATTTGGTTACAATCTGCACCAGGCAAGCAATGGATATATAGAATATAACATTAAGTCATCGAGTTCATGTACACATGTTTTGGGAG